TTGTTTTTATTATTTGCATGTTCTTTTGTAACGTTGTTTACTATTTTGTTATTATCACTGAAGATGGCCGAAATAAATGTGCCAAAACGTATGAACTGACAATTTAGTTACTTATTATTTTTTGAGCATCTAACACCCGGCTCTGGGTCAATACAGCCAATTTTTCCTCGAATCTCGGGTATACCGGGACCGGGAAAAAATCCAAATCGAGTTTTTTAGAGAAGCTGTTAATTGAAAAACTTCTCAGAATGTATCTTGGATTAGGAACTATTTATTTACTAGTGCGTCCGAAAAAAAACAAAAATATAACCCAACAAATAAAAGAAATTTTTGATAATGTGGTAAGTCTTTAATCCTTTGAGTGCAAAGTGCTCTAGAACTATACAAGAAAGGTTTGGCAATTAAAATTTTCTAAAAAATCTGAAATTTTCCAGAAATATAATACATATAAACCTAATCAAAAAGCTATTTTTTGTTTTGGCTAGAAAACTGTTATAATTTCAATAATATAAATTTGGGTACCTCTGTCTGATTATTACTATCTCCACATTCAAACGTCGACATATTTATTCATTTAACACACCTGTAATATAACAGAAACGCAATAATTTTTAAAAAATCAACGACTGGTATTTATAGTCGAATCTTTAAAATCTGTTAAGGATAGAAGCACCCTTCAAAAAAATTTTAATATTTTCGTGAAAAAGATATTTCTTCGTAAAAAATTCATTCTTCATGAAAGATATTTAAAAAATGTTAAATACAAAATGTTAATGGTTATTGTACTGAGATATCAATTAACAATATACAATGCATAATTAAGTCTCATTTTTATTTTTTATTATGTAAAATTTCATAAAATATAAATTATGTAAAATACTTATATTTTATCAGTTACATATTATTTATAGATAATAACATTATAAAAAAAATTAATTTAACACAAACACAAAAAAGCATAAAAAATGGAATATTAAATCAAATAGACACTAAACATTATATATTAAATATTATCTTGATAGACATTAATTAATAATTTAATATATGTCTTAACGTCTTTATCTTTGATTAATCCCAAATATTTATCGTTTTTCTGTGAAAATTTATTTTGAATTTATTAATTTCTAAAACAAAACGTTATGTTATAGGCCTACAGAAATATTCAATATTACAATAATAAAAGCAAGAGCTTAAAGACTTTAGCTAGATGTAAAAAGTAGCAATCGTTAAATTTTACTTCTCTTTATTCTTCAAACGTTTTGCTCCATCTTTATAACCATCTCCAATGTTTTATAAATGTTGACGAACTAGCCATTGGACAAATAACAAATTCATGGAATTCGATCATTTTACAATTTCAAGTTCAGTCAAATTGTGTTGTGTCATTAAATAAAAAATTAAATTAATGTGCTGTAAAATTTGCAAAGAAATTACGTAATCAAATTGTACTTTGTTCAGCTGGTTGAAGTTTGGAACGTTCCTGGAACGATTTTTTAAAAATGATTTGTCGCTCTTGTCCTTTTGAAGGGAGGAAGTTTTGAGACCCACAAACAAAGTACAAAAGAGACCGATCCGATACATGCGTCGGAAGACACCCTTATACCCTGTAACGATGCAGCATGCATCGTCACGGCTACGGACCGAACATCATCCGTAGCCAAAAAGGGCGCATCGAGCGCCGATACACATTTTCATAAACACCGGCGATCAATCGCCAGACGGTCGCCCACACCCGACCGTTCCCAAAAATACCAGGTGGAGGTCCGCCGGCTAGGCCGCCGATGCTTGCCAATCCTAAGCCAGTCGGGCGACAGCCGGGTATAAAAGAGGCCCGGTTGTACGCCTTTTCACCAGATCCTGTTCGCTGCTCGCCAGCGAACATCCTATTGCGAGAGCACTCGCAATCCACCGAGAGTACTCGGAGCTTATGTCCAGCAACCCCACGAGCACGAGCATACTCGTGCACCGACCGAGCATACTCGGCTTCAGGAACCGCTTCCACACGTTACGGGAACACCCGTGTTCCGCCGAGCATACTCGGCTCTAGACCTCGATACGAGGATACTCGTATTCCGACCGAGCGTACTCCGTCCTTCGTTCCTCCGTGCGAGCATACTCGTACGTCACCGAGAGTATTCGGCCTCGATCCTCGCATACGAGCGTACTCGTATATCGCCGAGCCTACTCGGCTTCGCTTCCTACATACGAGCGTACTCGTATACCGCCGAGCATACTCGGCTCCGCTTCTTACATACGAGCATACTCGTATACCGCCGAGAATACTCGGCTCCACGTCCGACTTCCGATCACCGCAGGACGCGAGCAATACGCGCGTCCTCGCTCCCGTCTTCATCCCTTCAAATCGGGTCCTTACATCCGGCAGGCAATCGCGACTAATCGATTCGAGCAACCATCGAGTCACCGCGCACGCGCCCGAATCATCGATCAGTTTGATCAATAATCAACACCGCTCGCATGTATCGATCCACGCGCTCGCAGCGATCTAGAGCTAACCACAACACTCGCGCTTGCGCCGACGCTTCCGCGTCGCCGTATGACCACCGTTACGCGCTGCCTTACGCCGCCGTAACTAATATAATTTTGTAACACGCGCCACGTTTAACACACATTTATACTCGCCGTATCCACACGGCTGTACATAGCTAACTTCAACTTAAATAATAAACCTCGTGGTAATTATATACTATCACTGCCTCACCTCCGATTTTGATCCAATTTGGCTCTTTCGACGCGTTTTTTTTTTTTTTTAAACTTTTTCCTCTTACAAAATTGTCGCTCTCTTCCGCGAGACGAGATATTTAGCGTCAAAGTTGACGACTTTTCAGGGTTAAGAAACCTGTCACTTTGACGAATTGCAGCGACATGAGTATGTGCTGCGGTCACGCGCGCATGCGTACTAATAGAATTGTGCACGAAATACAAAATATATTTTTGATAATCATTAATTGTAAGTCGCAAACTCACGTTAAGTAGTATAATTATGAATCTTGCTTTTGTCGTTAGTACACAGGGTAGTTCCGCCCCCCCTCCAGGGGAATACCCTGTGT